CTCACGGGCCCAGCCGCTCCGCGGCATGTGGGATCTTCCCGGACCGGGGCACGAACCCGTGTCCCCTGAATCGGCAGGCGGACTCTCAACCACTGTGCCACCAGGGAAGCCCCAACCAGGCATTTTCAACCACTTAGTGAACCTCAGGTTTCTTTTACGAGACATAGCAACTCTGTTTTCATGCATTTTATCATATTCTGCAATTTAAATAATATTCTCTGGCTAATATCATGTTTTCCTCTTCACTGATTTCTGCCAATTGGGAACCTGCTATACAATATATAACTTTAAGTGGGTAAAGCAAACCCACGAAGCACTGGCGCTTCAAAGGATGTCACTAGATACTAGCAGAGCCTAAAGGCAGGTTAAGAGAGATCTGTGGGCTAAGAACGCCCTTCCTTTAAAAACAAGTGTAAGGGTTGTATCCTTTCTAGAAAACCATTCTGTTGAATGACTAATGGCTGCTGTAGTTTGGTTTTCTACTTTATTTAGGTCTATTTTCTAAAACTAATGTTAATGCTGAGCAAATAGTCTGCTCATCAATAATACCAACAGGAAGTAACAGGAAAAGCACAGCTGACAATTTAGACAAAAGATACATCAAATGCCCATTATAGGCTTCCTAGTACTTGTAATCTCAAAGAATTCCATTTCCGATGAATATTTTATTTATTTTGCTTGAGGATGGAGGAGATTATATAAGGGAATTGCAGACAATGCCTCATTTCTTGATCTAGAAATAAATTATATTTATATACTTTTCATGAATTAAATTACAGCCACTTTCTCCCTTGGTACTCTCCCTTGGTACATGTATTTACAAAGTAAATATGGTAGCTCGTTTCAACACAACTTTAACCTTAAATACAGTAAAAACCAAACCAAGTATCCTCAATAAATCTGAAAGTACTGAGTTTGAATTTTTTTCAAACAGTTGGGATTTGACATTGTAAAAAATAAAATAACCCCCAAATTCAACTGTCATGAATGAGAATCCTTATAAAATGTACTGGGGAATCTCGATTTCTTAACCAAATACACCAAAATAAGTTTAATTTTTTTCTTGAAACTTATTAGTCATGTATATTTAGTATTGCCTTGCAGCAATAATAATATTGCTGAATGAATGGGCCTCTGTTATTGTAATAGAGTGTAATATAGTATAATACAGCACAGCATTCAAAAGCACAGACTCCAGAGCAGGTCTGCCCATTTCTAAATCCTGGCTCTGTTCCTTACTAGCTGTGGGACTGGGCAAGTTATTGAACCTCTCTGTGCTTCCATTTTCTTATGTATAAAATGGATATAATTACACTTCCTACCTCCTAGGGTTGGCATCAGATAAAATGAGTTACAAAGATTTGCAAAGTAAGGAGAATAGTGTCTGGTGCAGAGTAAGTGCTGTAGAAATATTTAGGAAACAAACAGACAAACACATAGACCTTCCTTAGCTTCCCAAATGACTAAGTTTCTGCTTTTCAAGTTATCCAAGTTTTTTTTTTTTACAGTTTTTTTGCCTTCTCTGTTTTTGTCAGACTCTCTGTGGGCTTGTGACTAAGAGCCCTTCTCTCCTTCTGTTTAGAAGGAATGATGTTTAGGGCCCCGGGCTTGGCAGCGAGATGCTAGGGTGGGTGGCCTCAATTTACTAGTGCATAAAATGGACACAGGGTATAGCACAGGGTACTACATTCAATAGCCTGTCATAAACCATAATGGAAAAGAATTTTTTAAAATTGGACAGTAATAGAATTTACTTAAGAAAGTTACTGTAAGGATGAAATAAACTAAGATATGTTTAATACTGACAATAGTACCTAGCACACAGTAAGAGCTCAACGAAGTAAGCTATTAATCCTTTCCTTTGTTTCTGTAGGTTAGCGTGGTCTTTGAATGAGGGCCTGAGGCACTCTCCAGCAAAGAAATTATACAATCTGCTCTCTGTATCCTCAGGTACGGCATTCAAGGATCACCCAAACTAGGATCAAAAATATTCAGAAAAAAAAAATTCCAGAAAGTTCCAAAAAGCAAAACTTGAACTTTTCATGCCCTGGCAACTATTTACATAGCATCTACATTGTATTAAGTGATTTGAAGTGTATGGGAGGATGTTACATGCAAATACTATACCATTTTATACCACGGACTTGAGCATCTGCAGCTTTCGGTATCCGCGGGGGTCCTGGAACAAATTCCTCATGGATACCGAGGGACAACTGTACATTTTTTCATGAAAATTTCATCAAGAAGCTTAAATCAACTCTTTAGAATTATGAAGGTTTTTCTTTTCTTTCTTTCTTTCTTTTTTTTGGCTTCTTTCTTGGTGTCTGGTTACATGCTCAGTAAAGAAAGCTACCGACATAAAGCATATTAGATGTGGTATCTAGTGGTAGTGGACAAATATGTCAATTATAAACAAAAATCCTGACCTGCTGGTGCTGTTGACACTGGCTTGGCATAATAGCAGTATTTTAATTGTTTTAGCCCACTTTAAAGAAGAATTCTGAGATGCCATGGTGAATATGAGCTTCCCCCTGAGCACTGATGTTTTGGAAGCACTTGCCTTTAAATGTGTTACTCAACCTTTATTTGCACTTAGTTTTTCATCCTTTGATCTCTTGTGATGACATGGTTTTAGTGTCAGAGAGACTCATGGCCTTCATGGAACCAGTGAATTTAAGAGCTGGAAGACCTTAAAGGTCACCTCATCTAACTCTTCAACTTGATAAGACACTGAGGCCCAAAGAGGAGACTGATGTTCCCAGGTCACACAGCTGGCCAGTGCCAAAGCCAGGACCAGACTGTGGTTTCTTGAACTCTTCCCAGAGCTGCAAAAGCTTTGGCTAAAATGGTGGCCAGCCTGGGACACAGGTTGCTGCTGATCTTGAGCCCACGGAAATCAGACTGTCCCCTCTTACCGCAGTTTCACGCACACCCTCTTATGCAGCTTGCATTTTAGGTTAGTTTTCTGTTTCAACAGTGGTTCATATCGTGAAATAAAAGAAAATTAAAGGGTTAATCAAAATAGATGCCACATGTTATAATGAATACCTTTAGGGAGGAGGCTCATTAAAACAGCTCACGCTGGGCTTCCCTGGTGGCACAGTGGTTGAGAGTCCACCTGCCGATGCAGGGGACGCGGGTTCGGGCCCCCGTCCGGGAAGATCCCACACGCCGCGGAGCGGCTGGGCCCGTGAGCCATGGCCGCTGAGCCTGCGCGTCCGGAGCCTGTGCTCCGCAACGGGAGAGGCCG